CGGACTTCATCCGGGACCTGATCCCAGAGACCGCCCTGGAGGGGCTGTGGAAGAAACTGGTGGAGGAGGACAGCCCGCTGGTGATATGGATACCGTATGGCGGGATGATGAGCAAGATCTCGGAGTCCTCCACACCGTTCCCGCACCGCAAGGGCACGATCTTCATGATCCAGTACCTGAGTCTCTGGGATAACGCCAGTGAGGACGCCACCAAGCACATGGATTGGATCGGAAGGCTCTACAACTACATGGCCCCTTATGTGTCCAAGTTTCCTAGAGAGGCCTATGTGAACTATAGGGATCTTGACCTGGGCATGAACAAGAATGGGACAAGCTTCACACAGGCAAGTGCCTGGGGTCTCCAGTACTTCAAGGGCAACTTTGATAGGCTGGTCCAAGTGAAGACCAAGGTTGACCCGGACAACTTCTTCAGGCATGAGCAGAGCATCCCACTGTTGGAGTTGGCGAATACTTCAGGGACCCTTGTTTCTCACACCGGGTACGCCCACGTGAGCTTAGGGAAACTGAAGTGTTGTCCGACGACATGTGACCCATGCGTGCGGAATGCGGGGGTTCGGGGGCAGCGCCCCCGACACGGGTGCCCCGCTGCCCAGTCAGCGGACGGCTGCCCCGCTCGCCGGTGAGCGGGCGGGGGCTCGGGGGCAGCGCCCCCGAAACCTCAACGGGTTTGGGTTGGCCCGTATAGTGCGAGATTAAGAGATTTCATATAGGTTTAGGTTTTGGACCCGTTTGGGACATATATATATTTTGCTCGTTTTTCTGATCATTGTAACGAGTTGAGTGGCTGTAAACCTAAAAACATAGTGAAATCTCTTTGCAGGACGTAGCCCTAATCGAGGGTGAACCTGGGTAAATTCATGCATCGTCTATTTTCTCTGTTTTCTGTGTGATCGTTTTGTTTCGATTCTCGATACGTCTCTTCACCCACGATTGCCACTTTCTCTGAGGGGGAAGTGAATAACAGACTGATGAAAGAGAAAATGGGGCTGGCACTCACAAGCATTGTGCCGGTTTGATTGGTCTTTTGTGACATTTTGATGGTAGGATTTTTAAAGTGCCTAAAAATCCACCTATCAAAATGGGTATTAATGTGTGTAAAAGGTTATTGTGTTGGCTTTGTCATGGAGTGGTGCTTGGTCAAATAATTTCTTACCAGAAATATGTAAGCGTTGTCTTTGATATGTAGAAGCCCGTATTCTAGTGTAATGGCCATGGGATTAGAATCTTTTTAAGAGGTAAATCACAATTCACATCCTATTGTAGGGGCCAGATTATATTTCTAGATTCCAAATTTTTTAAAATGAGATTTCTTTCATCGTAGCCTAGCTCATGCACGATCGAATGTTTGACGTGATCCATTTCGCACCGTGACATAAATATCCAAACGTAAATCCATTATGAGGGGTTGGGGGCTTGTTGAGCTTAATTGAATAAATTTTTTTCCTAAAAACATTTCCTTTATTATGAAATTTATCTCGAAAACACACCCGTAAGTCGATTCTGAAATAGCCTATTACATCTTCTGGAATTGTGGCCTTATGTGGGAGGGATTTATTCCCATTGAATGGGACTGGGGTCCATTTGTGAAGGCCCCAAAAGAATTCTTACTTGGGCCTTCTGGACTTTGGTCCGAAGCTTGTTGAGTCAAACTGTGTCAAACTACGAAATTTATCAATTTTATGTCACGACATTCTCATTGAACAAAATATAATCCAGCAGCCAAAAATTGCCCAAGTGCCCCTCATTAATTCATGTCTTTACTCCTAATTTTTCTTTAAGACAAGTCCTTGTTCTTAGATGACCACAAGTTGTACACAGGTGCAGCCACACTTGCATGTATTTCACGTTTAAATCATGGTACTACTGACCAAGGAAGTGGCTGCATACGTGAAGTGAAAGTAATGTATCGTTTCTTTCGATAAAATTATTATTACAAAGAAGGGTTTCTACTAAACCATTTTCATTGAATTAAAGGTGCAATCTATAATGCATAGTTCTTTCTTATGCTGCTATTTGTGCGGTATTTTGGCTAGTCTTGCTACATGGAATTAAAGGTAAGTCATCGATATCGAGACAAGAGGATATTGGGTTCATGATGAAAACTTCCAGGATTCTGAATTTCCGAATACAATAATCCCGGCACACACTGTCGGTATAAAAAGGTTTTTCTATGAGCAGTTTTATCTGTCATGGATTCGATGGTTAATGAGAGGGTGGGTAATTAAAACTGTCAAATTAATGGTGGATAAGACCGCTCGTGTAAACTCTTCTCTCTCTTTCTTTTTTTTTTTTTTCAAATTACAGGTATATGCTCTAATTGTCCTTCCTAATATTCTTCAAAATTTTGTTTAAGAAAGAGAGAAAGATAATAATTTTAATCTTGTTTCGAGGGAGCATGTCACTGCGCTGTCTCATCGCTCTTGCGACCATCTCCATCATCAACCAACACCTCTTCCCGTAAAAACCGGGGCCAATAATGAGCTTGCAACGGTGGTGACTGGTGAGGGTTTTGTGGTGGTTGTCGATACTTAGTAGGAGCGAATCTTTAAAGCCTTATGCCATTCCAAGGTGAAGGTCATTGTCGATGAGTTTATTATACCATGATGCTTCACAAGACGTTTTATTCACGACCGTCTCTCAATTTAGGATCTTCTGTTGTTATTTATGTGCTTTTCAGTGAGCTCGTTGTTCCTCAGAAAAGGAAAAATCGTCCAAAAAATCCTAAACCTAACGTACCTTTGTCAATTAAGTCTTAAACATTTTAACGTTTTACCGGTTGAGTCCTAAACATTTTCATGTTTTGCCAATTGAATAAATCCGGCCAATTTTAGCCGGAAATCGCTAGGTGGACACTAGCCGTGTGACATCCTGAAGATTTGTCCATTTGGGATTTATGAAATGCTGGGTTTTATGAACGTACTCGTAGTTAGTTCTCGCCCCGAACTGATCATTTCTGGGATACTAACCATTAGGGAAAGGCTAATTAGGAATTAAATTCGTGCGACTAAGAGAAAATTCGATCGTGAATTAATTTTCAACCATAAAATCGCCGAGGTGACATTTTGAGCCACTGTTGGCCGATCCAAGGATAGCCAGAGGTCAGTTTGCCACTGTCATAGTAGTGGATTGCGGGTGATTCCGCGGGACCACGAAATGAATTGACTGATGATCCTGAACCTATACTAAACGATCGTGCCCCTCGGATCTAGCGGTCGATCCTCGCGATTTAAATGACAACCGAAATCGTCATGAACCGAATGGACTTGTACGTGACTCAATTTATTATCAGTCACGGGTCGAATATGCGAATCTCTTTAAAAAGCTGCCCGTTAGTTTGAGAAACGCTTGAGTTACGTTTAATAAAATTTAATTATTTAATTGAGCCCAAACTGGATACCGGAAAATTAGGAAGTCACAACGGGACATTAGTACGACGTTGTGGTTGGAACGTACAGTTTTGGATTTGCCCGAATCCTTCAGAAAAATTCAATTTTGGCGAGAAATGAGAAAAGTGACCGTTTTACCCCTAAAGGTTTGTTAAGGGCAAGTTTTAAGAGGGAATGGCATTTTGGTAATTTTGCCCTAACTTTTGAGTTGGACAATTTTGCCCTTGAAATTTTATGAAATTCCCAAATTGCCCTTGGATATTTTTGGGAAAGATTCGATCTCGGCCGTCGGTTTCAAGACAAGATCGAATCCGAGCTATCGATTTGGATTGTGAGAGAGGGCCATGATCGTCATTTTGGCCTCTAAATTATTGGTTTGACCATTAAAAGACCAAGACCATTCTCTCTCTCCTCATTCTCCCTCTCTCTCCTTCGGTTCCCTCCCCTCCCCTCATCGCCGACCGTCTCCTCCCCTCGCCGAGCAGCCGATCGCCGTCTACCGCCTGCCGTGCCGCGCCGCGCCACCGCCGAGCCACTAGCCCCTCACGCCGCCGTCCCTTTTCTCTCTCTCCCTTTCGCTCGTGTGGCTGTGAGCCGCGGCAAGGAAGCCGCCGCCGCCGCACGCCGCCAAGCCGCACCGCCGATCGCCAACGTCCCCGCCGATCGCCGCCGCTTTCCGCTCTAGCCGCGTTAGTCTAGAGTTTCGGTAAGTCGCGCCCTAAACCTTATTTAGGACGTCGGGTATCAACGGACAATTTGAGGTGTGATCGGGTTTAATTAGGCGCGAATTTGTATGATTTTAGGAGCGGAATTGAATAGCGGGCCTTAGAGATGAATTCAGAAAATTTTGATGGAAATTTTGAGGTCAAAAGCGGGCTGTGGATGGCTGAATTGAGTGCTGTGGTGTTGTGTTTGGTACATAAATTGGATATTTGGATTCGGCGACTAAGTGTGAGAAAATGTCGTGAAGGGCTGGAATTAATTCGCCGAAGTTTGGAGGTGGAAAAATGAGAAATTGTATGTCGATTGTGTGTTTGTGATGTAGCTGAATTGTGGTGATGAAATTGGGTGCATTTGTGTACAATTGATTGATTGGAAATATGCTTGACTATGTGCACGCTCGGGCTAAATTGAATTAATTGTCAATTGGCCATATTGGATGCTTATTGAGCATGAAATTGTGTGTGAATTGATGCGTGCACGGGCCACTTGTAATTGGCCAATTAATTGGTAAGTGAGTGTTGAGCATGTGAATGAGTAAGAGATTGTGTGTGGGGTGGCATGTGTGATTGTGGAAATCCCCGAAGCGGTACCATTACGCGGGGAATTGTGCCGTCCTGAGGCGCGTACTTTAACGCGGGACGATGCCCGGTATTACCGGAAGACTGCCAACCTGAGGCGTGTACTTCAACGCGGGTTGTGCCGTAGGTGGTAGGTGTTGAGCCTGAGGCGTGTACTTCAACGCGGGCAAGAGACATGGCCTGAGGCGTGTACGGTAACGCGGGCCCTGGAGTGTTGTGATGAGTTGGTCGCAGTGAACCTGAGGCGTGTACTGTAACGCGGGTCACTGGCGAGAGTTGTGGAAAAGATGTGATGAGGTTGGAACAAATGCACGAAATATAATTATAATATGCATGTGAGTGAAATCGTGCTGTTATGCCTAACGTGCAGGTTGCACGCTGGAAAGGCCCAGGTAAGCAGAATTGTGTGCTTGCGATGCTATGGTTGAATGTGATTGTGTGTTGTGATTGTCTGGAGGTACGTGATAGCCCAGGTGGGGTTTAGGGGTGTACTTACTGAGATGTAATCTCATGGTTGTTTCAACCAATATTTTTTAGAACCCCGGCCTGATCAATGAATCCTCCACCGCCGCCACCTAAGCGTTTTGGAGTTCCGATGCACACCGAGCATAATGTAGTAGAGTTTCCTATAGATGACCAGATGACCTAGATTAAGCATACAACCATAGTGTTTGTAGATGTAGGATTACCCCTATGGGAGGCCCATACATATACCGCCTGGTTCTTTAGGGACGGGATAGACGAGTTTGGACCCGTTCGCGGTTTTGACGTCCCCTTTGATGGAGTTGGGGACTAGGACCCGTCTGCTATACCTCCTCCGGATGGCGAATTGACTAGTGTAGAGACTAGTCTGGCGCAGTCTGGACTGCAGCCAGCGCCTGCAGCACCAGGATCTTCAGGGGCTGAGCACGAACCGGAGCCGGAAGAGTCTCTAGCGGGAGATGATCCAATGGACGTGAATCTTGAAGCGATCCTTGAAGAAGAACCAGATGAGGAAGAACTCGAGGCTGAGCCTGAGGATGAGCCTGAGGATGAGCCTGCTGAGTCCGCAGAGCCTGAAGAGGAACCGGAGTATATACTCCCGTATGAACAGTGGATGGACCCCGAGTTCGTACCTGAGGATGATTTCTTTGAGGAGCCGGTCAAGGAGGAGCAGGACGAGGTTCCAGCTAAGTCGGGTGACATAAACCACCCAATCGAGATTGAGGCCGAGCCGGAGTCTTCGGAGGAGCAGACTGTCCAAGGAGACTCAGATTCAGATGGCGAGGAGTCAGACTCAGAGTGGACGCCTAGCAAAGGGCGTAGGGGCTAGCGTTGGGGTTGGAATTAGACTTTTTGGAGGTGTACCATTTTTGAGGATAGGACATCCAGGTCATTGGTCCTTTTTGATATCGGTGGTTGTAGTACGGTGTGCATATGTATATTGGTGGTTCGTAGTTTGGTGTGTTTGTATATGTGGTGATTTTGTAAATTGTGAATATTGTATAAGTTGATATAATGAGAAATGAATGCGTGCATTCTCCCTGTTCTCCCCAGTTTTAAATTGTCCGGGTATTTGTGGTTTCCGCTGATTGTTTAAAATCTCTGATAATTATAAGTGAGGTCGGCGATACCCTGGGATGTCGCATTAATCGACCAAGAAGGGTGTCGTGCGCTCGATGGGGTTCGGGGCGTGACAAGCCGTCCTGTGTGACACGCCCGACGCTGATGTACATAATTTTTAATAATATTTTCAATTTTTTAATTTTATTCTCCTTTTCTTTCTTTTCTTTCTCTTTCTTTTTCTTCTTTCCTTTTCGCTCCACTCGCTGGTCGCAGAGCGAGAGCCGATGTGGTCGCCAGCCTTTGGCGAAGCTTGCCCACGCCGGCCACTGGCATGGGCGAGCCTCGCCCAACCATGGTGAGGCTGACCTCGCCCAACAATGGTGAGGTCAACCTTTTCGGCCCTCGCATCTGCCTAGTCGTCAGCCATCTCCATCGCCCGGCAACCGATTAGAGGAGGAAGAAGGGAAGAAAAAAAAGAAAGAAAAGAAAAGAAAAATAAATAAATAAATATTATTAAAAAAATGTCCATGTTAGTGCCGTACGTAGCACAACAGACATCAATGTCAGCGATTTCTAACCAAAATTAGCCGGATGGACTCAATTGACAAAATGTGAAAAGGTTTAGGATTAAATTAATAAATATACAATAGGTTTAGGACTCTCCCCCTGCCCCTCCTCCTGGGAAGCATGGTAATAGATGGGAAGCAACAATGATGAGCAACTTTTATTGAAGTTAGGTGAAAAATGATGTCTACAAAAGAACATGGACATGTTTTTGGAGATGACTGAACCAAGAATGAACTGATATTAGGAAAAATTTAAGCTATAGCTCAAGCTTAATCGTCAAGCCCGAAATGGAAGGGAAAGAAAGACCTCAAGTTGAACCAAGTGAATTCAATAGACTATTATTATTTTCAAGTTGTTACATCAATCTAACTAAAGAAACCATTGAATGGAGTTGAATTGATTGAAAGTTGATTGACTATTTGAATCCCAGTAGGTTCCGAGTCAAAATCACATGGGACAATTCCGTGGTGGAAAGCCCTATATTCTGTGACTTTTATGTGCATTCAGTTTTAGAACTTTTCTGTCGTTCATTTGAATTCCTAAAGTTGCGTAACTTACGTTAAAGGTTTTTCTTACAGATGAATAATCCCAGGTGGCATTTTTATTAAATTTTCCATCCGACATGGCAATTACTACGGTTAGGTGCTTCCTGTCTGAGACATGTGGCACTATTGTGGCAACAAACGGGCGCCTCATCTTATAGAACTATGAATAAAAAGAGCAAGAGATAGAGCGCAATGAGGGGGACAAGGGGCGCCGCCGCCGCCCCTCCTTCGTCAGCAAGGGTAGACGATCCTCGCTAGGGTCTAAGCAATCGAGGAATTGCTTGCACTCATCCGGGGCATTCACCTCGCTTGAGGAAAGCGCCACTACTCACCACCATTGAGTGAGCTTCGGCTAACCTCACATGGCAGCCGCGAGGGCCGATCGACCCTTGCTTAGCCGTGGCAAGCATAGGCTATAGTAGGATATGAAAAATAATGCGTAATACCAATGAAACTTAGTTCGAGAAAAACCAAAACTAATGAAACTCATATGATTTTTCTGTGCAAGCTTTTGTGATTCAAATGATCGAAAGAAGAACATTAGATTTTAAATGCACTCTAGGTACACGTTTGAGTACCAAAATACAAAGCTGAGAAACCTTATTCTTCCAATAGAATTAGAAGTCAACATCACTCTAAACATAAGTCAGTAATGGACAGCACCTCTTTCAACTGGCTTCCTTCGAATTTGGTCACGCCCTTATCAATCCAAATTCAAACCCAGAGTTCAAATTGCTGAACTCGAGCTTTCGGTCGAACCCTTCTTCGAGAATTCGGACTCGCGGATCATGCAATTCAAATTACCTGACGTACTTCGCACCCAATAAAGATTACATTTCGGTGTTCGCCAAAGGACGAGATGCACCCCCTAGTCAAGATCAAGAAAATTTGCCCTATCTTCGTTGAATGTCATGCGTGGGAATGCTCGGACAGTCAAAAAGCTGTCGGCTAGTGCGCATTAAGCGGCGGATTTCCCCTGTGCATGACAGTTTCCGCCCGAGCCAAGAGTCCAAAAGTTACGCCCGAAAGTCTCACCCACCCCCATTATCTCCCCATTCTGTCGGACGTAGTTTTCGTCCTCTTTCATTTTCTGATTTTTCTTTAAGATCTATTTATTTCGAGAAAAAAAATAATTTAAAAAATATTTTCATAAAAATGATCGTCTGTATCGCTTCAGATAATTAGCAATTGAAAAATATTTTCCTCGTCAACGACAATTTATGTCTAAACATTTTCGTGGACGATAAAAACATTTCTCCTTGATTTATTTTGTTAGTGATAATAAGCGATTTTTTTTAGAAAAATATTTTATGAATCATTCGTTTTCTACGAAACAAATGGAGCTTTGGCGCGGGATAAACTTCGCATGCCGTGCTTTTCTTAGTCAATGTTCTATTATTTAATTATCGACTCAAATATATGCAATCTGAATATAAAAACCTAGCGTGGTGGACCGGTACAAACAATAGTATACTTTATTACAACTTTGTCTCTCCTTCTTACTTATAGGGCACTCTCAATTGACCCTTAGGGACGTGGGATTTTGAGCCAATATTTAGCCCATCGTTCACGAAGGTGTCTTTAGACATGGCTATCTTGTGCAAAGATGGTCGTGACCAATGGATAGAATTAGCCAAAGGCCATATTTTCTTGGTGAGGAATAATTCCACCAAGCTAGGAAACTGTAACCTAGTTGACTATCAAGGGAATGCGATATGACTCCACCACCACCACCACCACCACCACCACCACCACTGGCTTTCTTGGAATTGCAGATTGGTTGCTTCTCTTTCCTTGCTTGATGGTGTTCAACCCTCTTAGGGATCTGAGTCGTATTTTATGTTTTCAAACGTATATTGCAAAACTAAGGTTATGTTGGTTTCGCGAAAAAATGAGTAATCTGAAAAATATTTTTTGTAAAAATGATCATCATTATCGCTTGAAATAATTAGTCCATGACAAGTATTTTCATTATCGACAACAATTTATGTCTAATCATTTTCATGAATGATAATAATATTTTCAATTTATATATTTTTGTAAGCGATACAAGTGATCATTTTTAGAAAAGTAATTTTCAAATTATTCGATTTTGGCAAAACAAATGGAGTCCAATGACTTCTTCAGCAGGAGCACCATAGGAATAGGATCTGTGTTCAATGTCGTGAGGGGGTTTTTAGTGCCTACTTAATCCCATGTAAAAATATCATAATATCCGTCGACAGTTTTTCCCACGTGAAGATACAACTTACTAATGTTTTTATTTGAACATTTTGATCACCCTACTATAATGAAATGTCGACCTAGGGGAGTTCATCATGTTATAAAAGACATTTTTATATTGTATTTCTAAGTCGTGCTGTTTATTAATACCCCCTGTACAACTTTTCAAGTACAAAAAGAGTTTTTTAAAGATAAACTATTCAAAGGAGACGATAGACGCGGGTATACATCAAATAAGAGAACTATAACATGCAAGAATTTGAGAGAGAGAGAGAGAGAGAGAGAGAGAGAGAGAGAGAGAGAGAGAGAGAGAGAGAGAGAGAGAGAGAGAGAGAGAGAGAGAGAGAGAGAGAGAGAGAGAGAGAGAGGGTTTTGTGACAAATAACATATTAGTCACCAAACTACATTTAGTGTGTGAGAATCTATATGACCATTAAAAATTGTGTTAAAAGCTTAAGATGAATGCGTGATTTAATATTTTAATACACCTTCTCGTGCGTAGGTTAGGCTTTGGCCTAATTTTAAAGCGTGGAAATATGTAATTGGAAAGGTCAATTGGGGCCTAGAAAATTTGAACTCATGATCTCCTGCTTTGATATCATGTGAGATTTTGCGAGACCACTAAAAACTGTTCTGAAAACTTAAACTTTTACATGAAGGACACGGTTTGATATTTAAATATTCTAACAGAGTCAATGAGAAAGTTTTGCAAATGACATTTCGTGAAAGGGCATGAAAAGATTTTGATAGTCGTAATAACTGCACCGTATTAAGTTTTAATCTACAGAAGTGATAAGGATCCGGAAATAAAAAAAAAGTTATTGTAATAATTAAATCTTAGGGATTCGCTCATAACTTTTAAGTCGGTACTTTCAAATTTTGTGCATTGAGAAAAATACTTTTGAAGAAAAATGAGGTGGCTAAAGCAACAGTCAATTGCATATTTTAGTTCTTATTGCGTCTATTCAAAAGGTTCCTTACTTAAGAAGCTGAAAGCACGTGTTGATAAATGGAATTAAGTCTCACATGCACCTGCAACATTTTGAAGTTGACTTGTTCGTCCTCTCTTCTTTGTGACCAGTTAAAATAATATTGGTTTTCGTGCAATTACAGAGCTTGATTTTGTTCATGCGTGTTGACTGGACCGACGATTAAAAATCGCCACCTATCACGCTAATCTTTCACATGGTAGATCAAGTTATAAATAAAGAACACGCATACACTAATGTATAGAATGCAGCCAATCAATTGTATATCCACCTAACTGCATGTACACGCCAATAAAGCAAATGGCTTGCCGGTAAGTCGACTCACCAGCCACAGTTTTTAAAACAAATAAAAAAGAAGAAACAAAAGATGCGTAATTAAACTTTTTGCCCCATCACTAATCGAAATTTCATTAATTGAAAGTTAAATTACACAAAAAAGCATGAAACTTAGCTACTTATAGGGTTGACCCTTATGTTGGTTTCATTTGTCTAAACATTGGTAATGAAAATATTTTTTGTTAATTTATTATTGTAAGCAATACAAATAATCATTTTTAGGAAACTATTTTTTAAATGGTTTATTTTCTGCAAAACACAACATAATGTTAGAGTAAATCGATGTTGGTAATGAGTTAAATTTAGGGCCGAATAGATTTTGAGACGAATAATTCTAAAATCCTCCTCCCACATGGTGTGGGAGGAGGATTATCGTAAACCCTACCCTTTATCGTTCTTACATTTCCACACGAGTAGGTTGGATACAAGAGGTGCTTTCAAGTATGTTGTATGACATCGGGTTGCGCGGCACTTTTCCTTCCCTCACACTCTAATGCAATACGTTGATTGTTGATTATTGTTCAAAGTTAATCCCAATTGATCCTGACCCACAATCGAATTTTAATGAAACTCGGGCCATATTAGGAAAGTCAAATTGGACTTTTGCCAACAGGATCGTGGCTGATGCAAAAAGAGAAATTATTTTCCTATCCTTTTCCTTATTTAAGTCGAAGTCCATGTTGTCGTCAGAGAATGACTCAATAGTTTTTTATATTTAAATATTCTACTGTTGAGTTTGGTCTCTTGTGCATACTCAGTGCTCCTAGTATGTATGAAACTTGTGGGAGCCATAGAAAGCATTGAGAGCCATCATCCAAGAGAGTCGATTGTAAAAAATTTCCTTTCTTGTCATTGATTCTTGTGAGTTTGGATTTAATCTAAGTTAAGAAAACACTTGTAAGTGATTGTGATTGAGCGATTGTAATATCATCTTTATTGATTTTGACACCAAAAAACGTCCAAGTGTTAAGTTGACATTCCCAAATGCAATCGACAAAGAGGTAACCGTCAAAAAAGTGGAGGTGACATAATAGTCATGCAATGGAGTCAACAATCTCAGATACAACCGTAAAAGAGGTAACCATCAAAGTAGTGGAGTCAATAATCATCGAGTAGTGGAGTCGAAAATTATGTTTTTCGCTTTTTGTGTAACCGTCAATTGTAGGTTATAAATCTGCCAAGTATACTTTTTGTAAACCCTCCTCCCAATCAATCATAGAACTCGATGTACTTCTGCAAATTTATTTTTATCTTTACTTTCTTGCAACTTAAATGGTTGGAGATGATTGTCTCCGATTTTAGTACCTTTAAATTTCTTGTCATTTGTTTCATGTCTGAAATTAATAGACAACCCTTTGCAATCTTTGTTGATGGATTATCGAGCCACATTTTGAAAGGTTTTTCGCTGGTAACTTTTTGGCAAAACATCTTTTTGGCGTGCCTTATGGGACACATTTTGTTGATTCGATAAGACTGTGATGGCAAGAACCATAAATCAACAAGAGCCTGACAATGTTGTTGGCAACAACAACCCATTACCACAAACTAGTAATGAGGTTGTTGTGCATTCTAGGTCCCCTCTGTCACCAAAAGAGTGGTAGAGGGTAACCAACAGGGAGATGTTGACCTTGCAAGGCACCTCAGCGAAAAACTATTGGAGGAACTTCCACCAAATCCTATTATAATGTTGACCAAGAGAAGATTGCTTGAAGAACAACAAAATGATATAGCTAATTACACATCGTGAGACACATGTTGAATGTGATCAAGCCAATAGCCATCAATGCTGTGAATGATGCTTTGTTGAGGTCATAATCGTCCAATTAACTACCACTAGTGTTATCAAGAAATGTTCATAGTTCTTTTGATTTTAATAATGGAATAATTCAGTCAGTAACAACAAATCGGCACACCATGTTGGTTGACAAACCAATCAAATGCTAGAATTGAAATTGTCAAGCAAAAAAATGTTATGGCAACACGAAATGCCAACATCCTTGTTAGGCTTAACTTACCAATCAATGTCGACATAGATAATCCAACGAGGCCAGCATCACCGATTATGGGCAAGATGGCCAACCAAATCTTCAATTTAACCCGGCACAATTTGCCAAAGAAGTTCGACAAGAATTGGGTTTAAAAAGGTGAATTATTAAGCTTGTTTATAACATTATCTGAATGGGTTGATAATCAGCCGTTTTCTAGAAGTTTTACAATTCCCAACTTTGTCATCTTCACTAGCGAAGATGAACAATCGAATATTGGTCGATTTATAATCCTATTTGAAGAAGCAAGAACAGATGAATTTTTAAGACATGTTATTTCCTTTGTCTTTGTCGAAAACTACTTTAACTTGGTATACTAATTTACCACCTAAATCGATGTATAACTAAGTAGAGATAGAAATACAGTTCCATTCTCAATTTTATAGAACAATAGCTGAGATATTAATGGCCAACCTGGCTAGGCCTTACCAACTTAGCAATGAGCCAGTTGATCAGTTTATTACTCAGTTTAAGAAGACTAAGAATATATGCCTCACTTTACTCTTTAAAAAGGGTTTTACAAATGTGGCCTTTAATGGGTTGAAACTTAATTTAAGTGAAATACTTGAAGGCCTATACTTTACTGATTTATTTTAATTGACAACGAGAATGTCTAAGTATGAGAAATTGCTTAAAGACAGAGATAAAGGGCCACATGAAGACATCGTACGAAACGTGGCCTCAATGGAAGGATATGAGTCATATGATGTCCCTTGATTATCTAATTCAAAAGAATCAAATGATCGAATAATCATTCAATTTTTTCAAAAGAGGGCATATGTTGACACCAAAATATGTCTAGGTGTTCAGTTGACATTCTTGGATGCAATCGACAAAGAGTTAAACGTCAAGGAAGTGGAGGCAACATAACTGTCAAGTACTGGAGTCAACAATCTCGGATGTAACTGTCAAAGAGATTACTATCAAGGTAGTGGAGTTTATAACCGTCAAGTAATGGAGTCAATAACCATCGAGTAATTGAGTCAATCACCATCGTGTAGTGGAGTTGATAATAATCGAGATAGCCGTCAAGTAGTTGAGTTGATAACCGTCGAGTAGTGGAGTCAATAATCGTCAAAACTTAATGTTCTTCTACAAATTTATCTTTATCTTTACCTTCCCGCAATTTAAATGGCTGTACACAATTGTCTCCGGTCTCAGTACCTTTAAATTCATTATCATTTACTTTCTTGTTCAAAATCAACAAAGGAACTTCGCAACCTTCGTCGATCACTTATCAATCCACATTTTAAAAGGTTTTTCATCAGTAAATTTTCGGCAAAACACTTATTATAGACGAACCATCTCGTTGATCTCTCCCTGTGGAGTAAGCACACCACCAAATCATGTAAGTCCATCGCGTTCAAATTTTATTACTACAATTTATTTCTTACCTTAGTTGTTTTGTTTATAGAGCTGCCGCGTTTCTCATAATATTAAGGGAAAATGACACAAATAGTCCTTGAACTTTGGCCAAATATGCAATTTGGTCCTTGAACTTTTAATTTGTTCAATGTAGTCCCTAAATTTTAATCCAATGTGCAATGTGGTCCTTGGATTTTTAATTTGTTCAATGTCATCCCTGAACTTTTGGTACATGTTCAATTCAGTTCTTGAACTATAAGAAAATATTCAATATAGTCCTTTCTATTAATTCAAGTTCAGAAACTACATTGAATATTTTTATATAGTTAATGAATTGAATTGAACGTAAATCAAAAGTTTAGGGATGACTTTGAACAAATTAAAAGTTCAAGGATGTACATTGTGCCAATGTTCAGAGACTGTTTATGTCATTATCCCTAATATTAATGCTAGTCACGGCAATTGAGTCCTGTTCTCAAATTAAATAAAGCCTCCAAAAGAAGTACCCAAATGATAACCTTCTGCTTGGGATAAGTCTTGATTGTCTCACAAGTTTCGCCTGTCAAGTGTGAGACTCTCAACTCAACTTTACAGATAAGTATATGCATATTATAATATTCATAGTCAGAGTAAGGAGCGGACGAGACGTTGCCATCATGATACGACTCTGGTTTTTTTTTAATTGAACAATATAAGACGAGAGAGTGCACCTTCCTTTCTCGTATCTTGCATTGCAAGAGCAAGCAATATGATTTGGTCGACTTGCTTGCAACATGAGAAGACACTGATCTTTCACAAACCCTAATTCTTTTTGCATGGCGTAGAGCGTCTGTCCTCCACGATCTGTGCTAAGATTAACCTATACACAGGCCCCATGCGTTCACTTCCATTGCCTCCCCAAATGGGGTAAAGATTGAGCGAAGGGTAAACAGTGTTCACAACTGAAATCGAATTTGGGGGTATTGGCCTGCCTCCGTAGTTTATGGATCGAGATCTAGTCCCGAAGTGGCCTTTACTTTTAGGACTATTGTTAGAAATTTCGGATGAAGGAAAAATAGGAACACACGATTGGTAAATTCTGTTTGTGAATCGAAATTACCCTCGTAAAATTATGTGGGACTATTGTCAACCGCTTTAAAAATTTAAGTTGTTATGAAATGTGCCAACAATGTATTTATAGTATATGATTTAATACTCTCCATCATCTGTTAGCCAATCCTTACATGCGCAAAATAAGATGTGGATGAAACCACTTTAACAGGATAACGTGCAAAATAGGAAATCAGGCAAGATAAGAGGAATAAGCAAGAGGAAAGGGCATCAAGATTTAAAACATTGACATGTTCTTTCATATATTGTAAGACAAACCATTTTCCCCAAAAATTTAAGCTATTTGATAGAAAGAGACTACATGTATATAACGCAAATTACAGCCACATATTTAAGCAATGCGGGATTAGACCTAACATTTTCTTGTTGGATCCATATAGCAGAAGCCCGATATCTCATCTCTAGAGATGACCAAGGGAAAGCCAAAGTTTGAATTGTTCAACATATTGAATTGAACCCACCTTACTTAAAAGTTTAAACTATTAGATAAATATGTGATTTAATATCTACATAATCTGACACTCCTCTCACGCATAGACCGGACTTTGACTTAAGATTAAAGCATAGAAATATATTAAAGAGAGGCAAATAAAGAACCGGGAAAGATTTGAACACAAGCTAAACTAATCATATATCTTACTACAAACTATTTTAAAAATTTAAGTCGTTGAGAAACGTGTCAATAATGTGTTTATAATATATTTTAAAAAAAGTGCTATGAATGATGTCTTCTATTATATGGGATGGACTTCCAAGATTAATAAACCGGGAGAAGCTGTTCAGGCAATAAATCCTAGAACTTCTCTGGATGGCTTCTCCCAAAAAAACGGTGCAAAGGAGGAGAATGAATTGTTTTCTGAGTACCGAAAAGAACAAGAGATGTTGACAATGAACTGGCTCTTGCATTCACAATCATGAAAATCTGAAGAAGTTCAAATAAATAGACGTGACCCACTAAAGTTAAACTCACCACAACTCTTCAGAAATCAACCGACCATGAAGAGAAACTATCGTCGGTCGTAATTCAGCATTTAATCGATAAACGATTATTGAAGTTATGTTCGACAACTGACAGCATTTTAGTCAAGTTAGTAGTTGAACTATTCTGTCTTTAACGCTAGTAACTCCTCGAAATATTATATTTCAGGATTAACTAGATCGATAGTCCAACTTGGGAAAGTTCACGGGCATTTTGAGTGATCAATGAATCCAAAGTATCTGAACTTCGAAATGGAGCTGTAAAGGTAGACTTTTTTCACTTTCTTTTCTCTGCTGATCTTTTAAAAATACTTTAAATCAAGGACTTTACTAGTAGGTAATTTAGTAGTTAGTATTGTATAGTATTACACACCTTTTCTCTTTTTCATTTTTTATTTGTAAGTGATTTTACGCTATGGCTTCATTTGTTTGGCGGAATATGAATGATTTGGAAGACTTTTTCCTAAATATGATTGCTCGTATTGCTCGAAATAATTGATCAATAAAAATGTATTCGTAACTAACAACATTCTATATAAATATTTTCGTAAACGATAAAAAATACTCTTCATTCATTCATTTTTGTAAGCAATAAAATCGGTCATTTTTAGGAAAATGTCTTCCAAATCTTTCATTTTTCGCGAAACAAACAGAGCTTATGTCAGTTGTGTTGTTTCCGTTCCTTTAAACTGTCTAGTGAAGCAATTCATATGTAGATTTCAAATGGGAGAATCCATTGACTCTATCATACTTCATTTTTAGATGGGAGGTGGTCCTCCATATTCAGGGGTGTATATCAGCCTTACATAATTGACACACCAATCCTGGAAAGGCAGAGATCACTTTTTGGTGTTCATCTTTTTTTTCTATCTTTCCTATTCTTTCCTCTTCTTCTTCGCATCCACTACAACTAACCTAGTATCTCCATCATGTCCGCCTCGGCCGTGACTGCATCGTCGCCTACCCATCACAGCTCCTCTCCCTCTCTTGCGCTCGCAATGAACCCCAGATCAGAGGCCGGAGGGCGATGACCTCCGGGATTGAAGGTCTTCCATGACAGACGGCCATATATGGACGCTCAACGACCATGATTTGGTGTGTGAGGCTGGGAAAATGCTAATTCCCATTCCCAGGCCCGCCCGGCCCCACTGTTATTCCTAATGCCAATTGTGAATGAACTTTATTAGGTGTGGTGTGATCTTGTGAAGAGATGCGTTTCCATTCATTATTGCTGACAAAAGGAATGGTTTGAGAAGCTTACTAACTTCTGAAACTTGTCAACACTGATAGTATGGATATGTTTGATGCACGTGACTTGACTAATCGATCAAACTTTAAGCCAAAACCCACCTAACTGCCGAAGTAAATTAAGACCTACTTGCATATGCTCAATTCAAACATTACAAATAGTAAACGGTAGGACGCATAATTGAGAGGCTCTCTCAGCAGTTGAGTTTGAAGCTAGTGTGGTAGAATGGTCGACGGGTGGCGGGGAAGGCGGTAGCAGTGTTGCCAACGGTGTTGTTTGTGGCGGCAACAATGGTCGGAGTGTTGTTGTTGCTGCCAAACGGAGATGGCAATGAACAAGATATAAAACCTCTTTTGGGAATATGTTAAAAATGATATCTACTTTACGTTTCTCAAAGAGAAACTCATTTTCTTAGAAACTGTCTTCAATCTATCATTATTGGGATATCCTCAGAAATTTGGAAATTTAGCAATTAAAAGAGAAACTTAAGGATAGTTTAAGGGAAAGCATGTCGTAAAGGATGATCACAAGTCGTAATGTATATTTACACGAACTTAGGCAACTAATTTAAAGAAAAGTACAAGTCGTAAAGGCTTTTTTATGGACACGTTCTGTTCATGGTAATTAAAAAATGAGTACCAATAACTACAGATTTCGTCAGGAGAAATTTTTAATTTAGACAATCTTGAAGAATATAATTAATTCATCAATAAAGGTTTTCCTAATTCAATTTTTCTCCTATACTGACATTACTTTAGCTAGATGAACTACCGTGCCTACTAGGAAAACATTTAATTCAGGTGATAATTTTGCTCCTATGATAGAACTGGGACCGATCTGGAGCCGGTGGGTTCCGCTTCAGGCTAGTTTCAAGCATAATCGGTTTGGTTCCTAATTTCAATTTGTCGGAAGCAGAAGGTAGATTTCAGATTGCTGCCTCGGAAACAACCCACCCTGAGCCGATCAATTCAGGTAACAGTATGTATGCTTGCTACCCGCAGATAAGGGCAAAGGAAAATGAATTTATTATGTTTTATTAGGTCACGTGGCAAAATCTTACATGGTATGTTATTGTCAATCGTTATATGAATACTCGGACTTCAATCAAATAATGCACCTTTACCAGAAGTTTTGCAATAATTACATCTAACGGCCCCACATTAGATTAATGGAAGACCTTGAAGACCCAAAGAAGTGATGTTCGCATTAGATCATCTCCACGTTGTCCAGGCCTTGAAAATCCACTATATATGCACGACCCACCAAACGCTTGTTCAATTGAATTCATTGAATGAGAGCACAGCAAAAACCGACCTGAAAAAATGGCGTTTCGTAGCGCTCTGCTGCTTTCACAGATTCTCTTCTTTTTCTTGGTCTTGTCATCTTCATGGGCATCTGCGACTTACGCGATTCAACAGACCTTCTTTCGTTGCCTTTCGAAAAATTCCAGGAATTCTGTTCCTCTTTCCTCGTATTACACCCCGAATAACGTCTCTTCCTTCACGTCCGTCCTCAATTCCACAGCGAACAACCTCCGGTACTTGCTCCCGACCGTGCCGAAGCCCGTGATCATCTTCACCCCGCTGTGTGAGGCCCATGTCCAGGCCGCTGTCCTCTGCTCTAGGCAGTTCGGGCTCGCCCTCCGCGTCCGGAGCGGGGGCCACGACTACGAGGCCGTCTCCTACGTCTCCCAGATGGAGTCCCCCTTCCTCGTGCTCGACCTGGCCCACCTCCGCGCCATCCAGGTGGACATCCCCCTGGGCACGGCGTGGGCCCAGGCAGGGGCCACGACCGGGGAGGTCTATTACCGGATCGCCGAGAAGAGCAGGGTCCACGGGTTCCCGATGGGCCTGTGCACGAGCCTGGGCATCGGGGGTCACATCACCGGCGGGGCCTACGGGTCAATGATGAGGAAGTTTGGGCTTGGGGCCGACAACGTGCTCGACGTCCGGATGGTCAATGCCAAAGGGAAGATTCTTGACCGGAAGGCGATGGGGGAGGATCTTTTCTGGGCACTCAGGGGAGGCGGCGGAGGCAGTTTCGGCATAATCCTGGCTTGGAAGCTGAAATTGGTCAATGTGCCTGAGACTGTGACTGTGTTCACAGTCACCAAGACCCTTGAACAGGGCGCCACAAAGCTCCTGTACAAATGGCAAAAGATAGCCCCCACGATCGACGACAGGCTCTACATCAGAGTCATCATCCAGGCCTCGAGCGCTGAACTGACGAAGAACCGGACAGTGATGACGTCCTACAACGCCCTGTTCTTAGGAGACCCAGACACCCTCCTTGGAATCATGGGCAAGGTCTTCCCGGAGCTGGGCCTGACACGGGCTGACTGTATCAAGACGACCTGGATTGGGTCGGTCCTGTACATCGCGGGGTACCCGAACACGACTGCCCCGGAGGTCCTCCTCCAGGGGAAGCCCCTGTTCCGGAACTACTTCAAGGCCAAGTCCGACTTTGTGAGGACCCCGATCCCTGAGAAGGGCCTCTTGGGCCTGTGGAAGATATACTTCGAGGATGAGGTTCCGTTCATGATATGGAACCCATACGGCGGGGCGATGGCCCGGATCCCCGAGTCGGCGACACCGTTCCCACACCGGCATGGGACACTGTTCAAGATCCAGTATGTGGCGACCTGGCAGGATGGGACCAAAAACATGGCCCGGCACATGAGCTGGGTAAGGAAGCTGTACAACTACATGGGACCTTATGTGTCCAAGAATCCTAGAGAGGCCTATGTGAATTACAGGGACCTTGATTTGGGCATGAACAGGAAAGGTGTCAACAGCTTGATGCAGGCAAGTTCATGGGGCTTGAGGTATTTCAAGAGCAATTTCTACAGGTTGGTTCAGGTCAAGACCAGGGTTGACCCTGATAACTTCTTTAGGCATGAGCAGAGCATTCCTGCTCTTCCTGTGAGGAGAGGGAGTTAGAGAGTATTGATTGGTTAGTGCAAGATTTGCTTGGACCACTCAATAGTTTGATGGGTGGCGTTAGGTTTCTCCTTTTGTTTTCTTGCGCTTGGTTTCCACCCTCATTTGACTAACTGCGAGGCTGTGTGCACCGTGAGCTTACTCAGACAAACAACAGTTTGCATCTCTCTCTCTCTCTCAATGCTTTTTTTTTTTTTTGAATAAGTGGAATGGAAATCCTAAAACGCGTTACGAAAGTGCAATTAAGTCTTAAAACTATAAAAAAGTACAATTAAATCTTAAAACTTGTAACGAAAGTGTAATCGAGTCTTAAAATTTTCAAAAAATGCAATCGAGTTCTAAAACTTTCAAAATGTTTTAAAACTTGACTTTCTGTTAATTGCATTTTTTGAAAGTTTTAAAACTCGGTTGCACTTTCGTGATAAGTTTAAGGATTTAATTGTATTTTTTGAAAATTTTAGGAATCAATTGTATTTTTGTGATAAGTTTTAGATTTCCAGTGCTCTTATCTTTTTTTCTTTTTTCTTTTTTGTTATCATATGTTGATCTCATATCTTCCTGCTTAAGCTGCACAGGACAACTTCTATAATCCCCGAATGAAATCATGGCACGAATGGTGCTTCCAAATGCTTTAGGGGTGTGATAGGAAGAAGGGTCGCTGTCCATTATGGACCAACATTATAATATGTTCCCCAAGTTTGATTACGCAAATCTGTTTATAAAGCGACGTCAACACCTTGTTAGATGTTTCCACGTGTCCCACGATCTAAAGTTAGGGGAAAATTTCGTGAATCAACTTTTGAACCGTCAAGAAAATTGTAGCTGCTGAATAGTCAACAGTGCATGTGCTGGTTAATTCACGTCCTCAATCAACTGCTATAGAAGATCAACAACTATAAGTTCTGATTTTCTTGACCTTTGAGCATAGAGATTGGGTCCATCCAGAGTTAATTAGCTCGCATTCATCAGCAATGTTCTACGGCATATCTGCCTAGAAAAGCTCAAAACGTACAGCAATCTTTTTCCAAGGATGCAAGTGGGAAATTCAATTTGTATATAATGACATGAAGGGCATTATTTCATGGGGGGAGGGGAAATTACCAAAAGAAAGTCCTAAATCTGTTGTAATTGTGACAATTCAATTTTAAACATTTCAATTGTATCAATTGAATCATAAACCTTTATATGTTTTGCCAATTGAGTTCATCCTGATCTGGCCAATTTTATCAGAATCTTTTACTAAACTGATGTTTCTAAACCACACAAATTGCCCTATTCATGTCTGTTACAGCTCCATTCACAAACCCTAACATGATATAGAATAACGATTTTTCGCATTCGAATCAAATGTTTGACCACTCAGTTAACTCCTCGAAGATTACATACGTGCTCCGCTACTCATATTATGAATTTCCAAAGGACTATTTCCTCCTATATATAGTGTTCCCCACAACCTTTGCATAAATGCAAAAAACTTTACATTAAAGGGTTTTCAGAAAAGGTGAAGGGGTTCGGTAAACACTATTTGCTTCTTTGACCGAGTATATTGCCATGACAAATATTCGTTTCTTTCCATTACATGGAGCACACAGAGCAATACGATAGTGCATGGACTTCCTTTATCTTCTACTTGTTACCGAAAGCTTGAAATGGTTCTCGAGTGTCTTAATTACAGTCCACAAGATGTACGCATCTCAACCAATCAGCAATGGTGAAACACTGGTCTCGAGCAATGGAAACTTCAAGCTGGGATTTTTCAATCCAGGAATTTCCAAGGATAGGTACTGGGGAATAGAGGCAAGCCAAGTGCGAAAACAGAGGTGAGTGTCGCACTTTGGACCGCCGAGGTCGAGCAACCCCAGGTGAGGCGATGTCCAGGTCATGTGATTTAGGCGAGTTAGATATGGAACAAAGGTGACCGTCATGTGTTGGGCCACAAACGTCGTGCCCCCTAGGTGACGGGTCGTCGAGGTTGCGCAAGCCCATCGCTGGCATCCCTCCAGCATTTCCGCGAGTCCCAACCACTATCCTCAACTCCTCGGCAAATCCTAGATTTGCAAATTTGAGCATCGGCGTGACCCTAGGCAAAGAGCTGCTGAGGTCGCTCGACCCCAAGCAAGGCAACACCAATGTTGTGCGACCACAGGTGACCCCACAACCCATCAAACGGGTGGGTCGGAATGGATTGAAAATGCGCTGACCCAAATAAACTCATTTATCAGTTTTGACCCATTATCATACAATGCAAATCTAGTGACTCATACCCGACTTGACCCATATTACTAAAGCACTTTCATATTTAATCTAATTTAGGAAAACTCATATCCAAATCGAGATGAAAGTGTGGAGTAAGTGAGCGAGTAATTGAGTGGGGGCAAGAGAGAAAGAAATAAGAGTCATAAAAGGTGGGTTGGGTCTAAATTAGTTGTAAACTCATTTATGACCCATTTAATAGGAGTGAGCATGGTTCCAAGTTCCACTTGGAACTTGGAACCTGATGCAGGGTAGATTCCAAGTTCCAAAAATCGAGGAACATATTTCAACGGGTAAATTTTAGGTTCTAGGTAGGTGGAACCTGAAACTTGAAATTTGGAACCTAAAACCTCAACAAGTTTTGTGTATTTTTTCATGGTCTATGTCTTTGCGTGATCCTGTGGTATTTTATGACTTTAAATGATGGGTGTATAATTTGAAACCATTAGTCTGAGCTTTCATTTTATAACTTGTTAATGTTTCGTATTTTTCGTGTGACTAAATATAAGTTGTAGTTAGTGGATCATAATAGCAAGTGGTGGTCATTAAAGGTGATGATTCATTGCAATTGTTCAATTAATAATACAGGTAAAATCTACATAGACCTTGGAACTGACCCGGAACTTGTGATAGGGTAGGTTGTTCCGGGTCAATTCTAGATTCTAAAAAATGAGGAACCTATTCTCATGGGTAGATTCTACGTGGAACCTATACGGAACATGGAATCACTCATCTCTAATATCGATTCACGCAATGATTTCTCATTTTAATTGTATTTATTCAAACCATAATGCCACGAAAACTAGTCTTTTGTATTATTTTTTTTTGTGAATGATAAGCTTGTTTGATATTGTTGCGTTCATTTTCATTTTGTTTAACTAAAAATGAAAAAAAAGAACCTGTTAGACCCTGGAATCTGTGACATGGTAGGTTCTAGGTTCCAAGTCCCAATGGGTAGGTTCCAGATTTCAAAAAATGAGGAATCTATACCCGAGGGTAGGTTCCAGGTAGAACTTGTAAAGAACATGGAACCGCTTATCCCTACCATTTAACACTCATATTATATTTAAACACATTTATGACAGAATAAGAACAGCGCAAGTGCCATAGCTTTCGTATGACATTTGCGCTTACTTGAGTACTATAACTTTTTTTCGCTTACTTAAGTGTCACATCGGAGTAAAATCGATCATTTGAGTGTCATTTCTGGAAAATCATCCTACGTGGATTTTTTAATTAATTTTCCATCCTACGTGGATTTTTTTAATGTTTTTGATGTTTTTTTATTTTTTGAATTTTTTATTTTTCTTTTTTCTTTTTTTTTTCAAGGCTGGCGAGGGTCGCCAGTGACCCTTCCCGGAGGCCTCACCCTCGGCCAAACTGGGCGAGGGCCGTCTCGTCATTGGCCGGTATGGCCACGAAGGCCCTTGACGAGGCCATTGCGGCCTCATTGGCCGCGAGCAAGACGGCGAAGGCTCTCACTAGATTTGGCGAGGTTGCCTTGCCCGCGACCGCGAAAGCCCTTGGCGAGGACAAGAGTGAGGCGGAGAAGGCTCTCACCAGATCTGGCAAAGTTGCCTTGCTCGCGGCCGCGAAGGCCCTTGGCGAGGCCATCGTAGCCTCATCGGCAACGGGCAAGGCAACGCCTATGGCTGCGAAGGCTCTCGCCAGATCTGGCAAGGCTGCCTCGCTCGCAGCCGGTGAGGCCACGATGGCCTCGCCCGCCGTTGGCAAGGCCGCGATGGCCTCGTCCAGGGCTTTCGTGGCTAAGGGAAAGGTGGCCCTTGCCCAATCTGGGCAAGGCCTTCGCAGCCGGCGAGGGTCACATTGAAAAAAAAATTGCAAATAAAAAGGAAAAAAAAAATAAATAAATAAAAACTAATTAAAAAATAAGATTAAAAAATTGTCCACGTCAGCTCCGACGAAGCCACATCTGATTTTCTGACGAGGCAAATCGCCGATGGCACTCAAGTGATCAATTTTTCAAATTTGTGGCACTTAAGTGAGCGCCGTACGGAAGTTATAACACTGCTAGTATTCTTCTCTCCATTTATGACCCATTTACTGAATGTAATTAACCTATATAACAACTCAACCATTATATATGGGCTAAGAGATAGGCCTACCCCACACCAGCATCCCCTTCCTGCTCTTCAACGAATCCCAGCCATTGTGTCGTCAGCAAGGGTAACGATGGAATATGAAAATATTAATGAGGGCAAGATTGAAAGACAAATTTCATTAAATCCACCTGCAGCATACAAAAATTTTAGAATGCAATTGTTGGGTTGGAGTTTTATTTGGCTAACAGACTTTACAAATGCTAATCTGACTCAAAGGCCTTTCACATGGTGTTACCAAATACCTCAACTTTGGCTCCAAAGAATCCCCACTGTTTCATATCTTTTGCATGAAAGGGGAACATATTTTGGCAAATTATCGCCACCGTTTCCAATTGTGGCACACGTTCTCAGCAATTTGAGGAAGCACACGGACATTCAGGAGAAGGGAGGAACAGAAAAAAGAAAAAAAACTGAGACGTAAGAAAAACAGAGTGAGAAACCAAGGAGGTGGAAGCGCTGGAGGTCTCGCGTGAGAGAAGGGATTCTTGCTGCAACGTTTCCTCCAAAACGTCTTTCTTCATGGAAGAGCAAAATGCAGGACACTGTATCCAAATCCAGTGCAGAGGCGACTATGGTGCTGAAAACAATGATCCGCATTATTTGGACATTCTTGAGTGATTAATACACGATTAGTTGTGCTCCTTTCGTGAAGCATGGAGTGATCCCATGTCTAGGCCGAACTGTGAGTTACGATTTTTTGACGAGTTGGTGGCGGCCGATTCTGCTCAGGTGCCCGGCGGTTGCGCCCAAGATTTTGGTGCATTTGGTACGGCCACAAAGCATGC